CCCTTTCTGACAACTAAATGTTGCATCACTCAGATTTTCTTTGACATTAAAATTTTGATTTTTTTGACTGACATGGGTGGATGAGCAGCACATTCACAAGCTTAAGTGACAGTGCTCCTCTGTCACAGTGACAGGTCCACTCAGGACCCTCCTCTTGGTCCTGATTGGTCATTTTTAGTTAGCACCTGGAAGGGGCAAAGGTGCTCATTTTCCTCAAATATTATCTGTCACATACCAATATGTCACAACATAGTCTTAACAAACAGTTTTTTGTTGTTGTTGTTGTTGTTGTTTTTTTTTTTAATACTAGTTACATCCTGCAGCTTTAAGAAGGTAGGCAGATTAGTCAAGCATGCAATAGTCATTATCTGGCTCCAATGACCCAAAAGTTTAACATGTTGCTTTAAAATCTGTTCTCCAACTCATCCTTTTTCTATAATTGATCATCAACATAAAGAAAATCCAGCTAATATTGTTGCATCTTCAATTAAACACAAAAACCTAATGCTCCTTGATATAAATACTCAATGTCAAAAGCACACTATTTTGAAATGGAAAACAAATCTTATTGTTCTAACCATGGTCTAAACAGAAGTACAATGTGGCATCGCCCTCCCCTGCCTGCTATTGAATTTCCAACAGAAACCTTCTCTTTCTTCTTTCCTTGGCGACAATGGTCAAACACTTTCTCTGAATGGCTTTGGACAAACAAAACAAATTGCAGAAGAGTGGCAGCCGGGAAGCAGTGAACAGTACTCGACAGTCACTAGGGTGGCCTTCCATGCCCTCTTAGTCATCATTTCACTGTATGTTTATTTTGAAATCTGGGATATTCGTGGCCCAGGATGGCGCAATGGCTGCTCCCATCCTGTCTTTCAGAAAAGACGGAAGCAGGTTGGATATGTACGCCGCTCACACGCTACAAGAAGAAAGGTTTATTTACTGTGTGAGAACTTTACGGTAACATAACAGGCACCATAAAAAAAAAAAAAACATATTTATGAGTCCCAAGGGCTATAAAATAACTTTAGTTAAATTAATATTTGTGGTGAAGTTTAACAGTGTATCAGAGTTCTTAGAAGCTGTAAAACTTAAAATAATCTGAATAAAACTTTTGTTATTGTGCAGCCAAGATAAAAAGAGTGAAAGTATAGCTCAAAGGATAAATCTGAAAGCAGGATGAAATACATGGATGAGCCTTAGGATTTCCTTTAGAAGTTTTCACTGGAAACTTTTTTTCAAATGTTATATTTGACATTAAGCTTTTTATCAAGAAAAAGATGGTGGAACTGTTTGGAAAACTACAAAAGGCTCTCATATTTCTAAAAACTTAGAATTTAAACATACAATCAAGTGTTAGCTGATCACTTCAGTAGCTATTGAAACTATCTAGACTTAACTACTAACCGAAAATTGGGGGAAAAAAGACTGTCATAGCCCAATGAAAGTCAAGAACACATAGAGCGGTGAGTGATATATATTATACACTGCCTGGCCAGATAAAAAATTGCACAGGTCTGGATTTAACTAAGCACGTGGGTACAAGCCTCCTATTGGATAATTAGTGCATGGGCAATTATCTTTCAGCTAGCAACAAGTTATGTAATCCCAACTGATGCAATGAATAGCTTCTCATTCCCTAAACAAACATGTTGAAACACATCCTGTGGTCATGGAGAAGCTGTTAGTCTGTTTAAGAAGGGTCAAAACATTGGCATCAAGCAAAGAAAACATCGAAGGAGATTACAGAAACGACTAAACATGTATTACAAACTGTTCAACACATTATTAAAAACTGAAGGGATAGTGGAGAATCTCGGTCTTTGAGGAAGTAATGTGGTCAGAAAAAAATCCCAAATGATCGTGATCAGTGGTAGCTTGATTTGATTTCATTACACATTTAGAGAAATACAATAAAGCATTTCCAAACACACAGAATGTGAAAGGAAGTCAAGGGATTGGGACTGAAATACTGCGTAGCCTTAAGAAAACCACTAATGGTTGAGGCTAACTGGAGAAAATGTTTCCATTATGTCAAGGACCATAAAGATTGGTCTCTGGAGAAATGGAAGAAAGTCACAGGGTGTGATGAGTCCAGAGTTATCATCTACCAGAGAGATGGAGACATCAGCTTAAGAAGAAAAGCAGATGAAGTGATGCACCCATCATAAGGACTATCTGAATATACTGAATGAATTAAGTTCTCAATGTAAGTATCTCACAGTTTGCATTGAGAACAAAGCGGTGCAAGTGAATATTAAAAGTGCTGCAGAGTATGCACACAGACACTTCAAATTCACAAATACTTTATTATTTATTGACTTCACAGAAACGTGGCTGAATTATGAACACTATAACCTAACGCTGCACAAGCAGAAACTATTCTGATGTTTTCTTATCAGTAAGAATAATACACAAGCTGAGTAGAACAGTGTTGAACTGCACCGCAGTGGTCTTGCCACAAGCCTAAAGGACAGCTTGTGGACAAAAGCAGTGAGGACGTTTGGCAATATGACAAAAGCAACAATCAGCTGGGAAAACGTATTAGCTATATGTAGCAACGAAGAAGCAAAAAGGATTTACTGGTGGCAAGCCGCATTTCTGAAAAAACATATTATATACCAGACCGGAAAGCTTTGATTTAATGATCCAATATCTTATTCTTGAGAGGGGAAAGCAGGTGAAGGTGTAACCTGTGTGATCGGAGCTGCACAATCTGTCAAGATAAAAGTCTCCTTACAACCTGTAACCAAACAACCAGGACAGCCAAAACAAGTCATCAAAATAAGTCAGACAGAACATGCAGACACATTTACCTCCATTTATCAGTTAATGGGAATGATTACAAATGTATAATATCCTGTCTAACACTTTTTGTAGCAAATATATTTAGGGACATTATTATTCATTTGTATTAGCAGTGAATGATTTGGACTATGTCTTTTTTTTTTTTTTTTTAATTCTGCATCCTTTAATGTGGCCCAGTCTGGTAGCCAATTCAGGTAAACTGCAGAGTGCCATTTTCTGCATTTTCACTTAAAGTAGGTCATGCTTACTCATGCCTTGAGACTCTTGATGGTTTGGCCAGCCCCTCAGGGTTAAAGTCAACGCTTTCCAGTCCATTAATGACATAATGAGAGGAACACAAAGAGCCTAATCACAATCACATAGTTTGCTAATAGTTAAAAGACCAAAAGGGTAACAGTTCCAGTAACCTCTACACGTTTTGATCATGTTAACAGCCGAATTACAGGTTGTTGTGTAGCACATCTAAGCAACCAGGAGATTCAAACTCCCTGTTGAAAATATAAAATTAAAGATTTGAAACATTGTACTTTGTGTGTAACTCATATGTATAATATGAGTTTCCTTTTGTGAAATGAGTAAAAAATTGTTTTCAACAATAATTATTTTATTGGAGCTGTAATTGTAGTACAGATCCATTATCCATCAACAAATGCCCACGAATCTTGACGTTTTTATTTCCTAAATGTTATTTTTTTTAATTCATAACCATATATTTTATCCTATATATTTTATCTTGACGCAATACAAATGTGCATTAAGCTGAAAATCTAATGGAAGTTCTCTTCATCATCAGTATTAATGAACACCAGAAGGAAGTAGGGGCCAGTGTGTGTGTGTGTATGTTTATACAAGTGTGATGTTTCTTTAATCCGTCAGAGAAACACATATGTTAAAGGCCGGATAAACAGCTGGTCTGGATGTTGTGATGGTGATTCAGCAGGGGTTTAAATCTTAGTGAATCCCTGCAATGCACAAAAAGAAGAAATCATGCCTCTGTAGTTCTGCTAAGTAGTCAGTACTTTCAATTGTCCTAATTTTAAAATCAGCAAGACTTCCCACACAATGTCTTTTACAGTCGGCTGAAAGGGACGCCAGACATCACTTTGCTTCGGAGGTAAATGTCAGCCTGCAGTTTAGTTCCCCACGTTTCTGCAACAAAATTCTCACTTAAATCTGACATCAAGAGTATGAGAACACTCCAGACTGTCATTGCTGATTAAACATCGACAAAGCCAAAACAAAACGTGCACATCGCCCAAGAGCTTGTAGAAACACCTTTAACAGCAATACCTCTCAGCAACCCCCCTTCAGAAAGGAACAGTCTCTCACATCACAGAGGAGAAATATTTGCCCGCATTTCTTTACAAGATATTTTCCGTTCATTGAACCTTTGTTATTGCAAAGAGTTAGATTGTAACTTTATTTGTAGGAAAAAAGATGTCACATCACCATTCGCTTGTTGGAGAGGTGGAACCTAGCAACTTAGTAAGACACACATTCAATCTTCCTCTTAAATTGATTTCACCACTCATATGATGCTTGCATGGCTGAAATGATGAGTCACGGTTGAGATTTTAAACCAAACAAGTGCTACCTGTGTAACATTCCCGCTCCACAATTCGGGTTTGTTGATGTAGACCAAAGCATTTCACATATTTACAGGAATAAAAATCAAATCTCACAATATGTTATTTGAGTCATCAGCTGTAGCTAAAATACGTAGTTTGATTTGAAACTTGTTGCATACTGCACTCTCACTGGACAATGCCAATACATGTATATTACTCTTAAACAAGTCTTACTAGGACAGTACAGCCAAAATTCTGACAATAATTTCCACCATGGCCCACTTAGGAAAATATTAATAGATCCAGAGGCACCTACAACACTGCCTGAGGACAGTTGCTGTGAGCTGCTACAGAAAACAGGATATAATTGCGCTCACCTTCACCTTTCTTACGTTAAATTATGGGCAACAACCGCTTGAATGAAACGCAGCGAAATCCTCTGTCAGGGGCCAAGCAGCAGAGAAGCGGCAGACACTTTTATCTGATCAGTCCCATTTCAAAACACAAGATTAAACCACGCTAAAACTGGACGGGGTTAAATCCAGCTCACATGAAAAAAATATAACAAATCCGTGTTGCTTTAAAAGTGAGAAGAAAGTCACACATTTCTTGCATTTTTCTTACCGTATAAAGCCCAATCCTGCACAAGGCGAGGGAAAGCTGCATGTGCTCCGACATTGTGCTCGACAACAAGCGTAACCCCCGGCAACCAGCAAGCCTCGGGAATAAGTGAATGGACGAAGGAGGATCAGGAGTAGCTGAACACAACAGTGTCAGACTGACAGCATGAGTCGCAGCTCTTCCCTGTCTTGCAGTCAGCTGTCAATAGCCTCACTCTGGTTCTTCGTTTAAATCCCGACATTCACACTGCCTTGTTTTGCAAGTGTTAGATGAGGAGGACCTTGCGTTTACCCGCCATGCTCATTCATAGAAAGATAAGAAACTATTACCACAGGGATCAACAGACAGACGCAAGCTTAAGGATGAGAGTATCTCTTTTTCTCTCACTCTCCACAGAGATTAAGGACTCAGCGGCAACTAGAGATCCAGAATAAGACTGCAAATTGGATTAGTCACCATTACCCACCCACACACAATGTCCGTACTGCAAGCAGAGCTATAGCAGGTATGAAACCCATTGCTTTCTGCATGGAAAAGGATGAAAAGATTGACCACTTGAGCTTCCTGTGGTCGCAAGGATTTCAGCAAATGCTGTGGGACGTTTTGTCGAATGCCTTTATGAGAACTGTGAGTCATGTTCGAAAAGCTTGTTTATCATCTCAGCCGTCTAGTAGGGGTTGGCATTGCCTCCTGCTGACAGGTATAATATACAATTTAAAATTAACTAGCATTGGGGTAGTGGGTGAACTAAATCACTGGCAGGTTGCTAAACTATTACAGATTTAATTTAAAATTTAAATTGGTAAAAAAAAAACGAGATTTTCAAGGTGTCTGTTGTAAATCTTAAACTAGAACGGCTTTGTTGCTCTGCTTCATTTCTCTCAAATTGGAGGGGAAACTGTGTCCTTGCAACCTTCACTTTTAATGCTCGTCACTCCTGCATCAGGACTCCTGATTTAGTACATCAGATGTCCCGCATCACATTTACATTTTGACAAATTACATCTGATGTGTTAGATGGTGAACTTTTATATTCTTATAATTTAAAAAAGGACACAATTCTTCATATACACAAGGACCTCAGGGCAACGGCCCAGGACAACTTTATCTTTTAAGTTTAAAAAGTTTCAGAAAATATGCTTGAATCCAGGATTTCAACACAGTTTAGTTTTTCTTTTTTCCAGTTCAATCTTCTTACGTTCGACAACCTGAATATTTATGTTTCTTTAACTGTAAATATATAAATAAAACAAACTTCCTTCTATTTATTTTGTAATACTGGAGATGTCACAATTTAAACTGAACATATGTGCTTAGTTTTCATTTTATGGGAGGCCATTATGATGAAAAGATGTCATCAAAAAGAAATGTGTGATTTTTTTGGACAAAAATAATAAGATTAAGTTACTGGAATAAAGCCAATAGATTAACTGGAAAAAAGGCAGTGGCAGCCCTTGTTTAGTAATAGAAACTACAACAGCAGGGTAAAATTATAATGGACTTTTCCCTTTGGAGTGCATATTTAGAATTAAAAAAAGTCTATTGTACATCAGTTTTATACATCTTTTGACATGTATTCAGTTCAAATGCAGCAAGATCATTATCAGGGAATGTGTTTAGGGACTCAAACACCTTATATGTTCTAGACCATTTTGAAAAATATATTCTAAATATTATTTGTAAAATAATAAAATCTTGAAAATAAATTTACGACATTGCAGAGCTAAATAAAATAACTTTTAAGCAGAAAGAAACTACAACTGAAAAGCAACAAAAGGTTCACTGCTGCCTATTTAACGGCATTAGCACATTTAAACTTCCATGAATGTGAATATTTCCAGAGACGTAAAGGGCCTGCACTCATCCTTGATAAGCATCAATATCACAGATATTCAAATGAACTAAACCATTCACATTGCTGAAATACCATGTTGCTTACAACAGAAAAAGGAATTTGGCAGTGCTACACCAGGAGAAGCAGGGCTGTGCAGCACTGTCAAGTAGAGGACAAAGATAACATCTGCTGTTTGCCAGCAGGATGGGAGTATGGCTAAAGCACCTGCCCTTAGCTCTGCTCTACCTGTTCTCACCGTGCACAATAAAAATTAAGACATAACTGAGGGTGTGATTTTGGTGAGGACCAAAAAAACATTGTATCATTTTTGAATCCCACTAAATAGAATTACAGGTCAATTAATTAGAATATCATACTAAGTCGATTTACTTTAATAATTCAATTCGACAGGAAAAACTCACATTATATAGATTAATTCCACAGAGATTGTAATATAAAAGGATTCTCTGCCTGGTTTAGGTCAGGGCAGGTTGCTGGCAAATCCAGCAGTGACTGTGTGGTCATTAAACCTGGTATTGACAGTGTGGACTGTGCTGTGTCCTGCTGTGTCCTGCAGGAAAAACCAACCAGCATCTCCATAAAGCTTGGGAAGCATGAACTCCTCTACATTGTCCTGGTAGATGTGGACTGTGGACTTGATAAAACCTCCAGGGACAACCATCAGCAGGTGATATGCCACACCGAATCGTCACACTGGACTTTATTCTCACACTCTGCATTTTAGTCAGAAATCAGGTCCCCAGACTTTACTTTCGTCTGAAAAGAGGACTTTGAGTGACTGATGAACAGTCCAGGTATTTTTGTCATAAGTCCAAGGACATCTCTTTAAGTGGCAGGTCTGGACGCTCTGCCTCTAGCCGCAGTCCACACCTCGTCTCCAAACTGTTAAATTGGCTATACTTTAGAATCATGGTGATGGTAATTCCTGATGTTTGCGTCCTTTTTCTAACAAACCTTTTTTCTACCCTCATCTTTCTATTGCTATGTTTTGATACACCACTCTGAACAGTCAGCTTCTTTTAGAAATGGTCTTTTGTGGCCTAACCTCCTTGTGGAGGGTGTCACAGAAGAACTGTCTGGTCATCAGTCTTCACTATGGCTGCGTCCTTCACATTTCATATCCTTTTGCAATGTATTATTGTAATTTGCAGAGAAAGTATAGATGGTTGTATCTCACAAATGTTTATTATTTGATACTACAGCTGTGAAACATGAAATAAGTACTGCGTAGCCGATACAGTAAGATAAACAATGGCTTTTATCCGCAAGTTAAAATTTAAATCTACGCCTATTGAATGTGTCAAATTTGCTATCTGAAAGGGAGGAAGAGGTTTAAGCACAAAGTATCAGTTTTAAATATCACCTAGACATAAAAGATATTAACCATTAGCCTGTCTTTTCCTTTCCACACGTATTATTTAAACCAAATGTCACCTTTTTTTTTTCTTTTGACAACCACAGTTAGGATAACAAGACTGCAATTTGATATAATTCTAGTTTAAGCAGAATATGAAAATGATCCCTATCCAACTACAAGTTTCATCAGACAATAAAATGATAGGACATCTCATTTTATGAGATATTCATAACGTCATATTTGTGTGGCTTTTAGTTGCATAAGCTGCACTTTATGCTCAACTTTGACTCTTTTTACTGCGGTTTAACATGCAGCTACCGTTTTAGGTCATTTCTCCCAGTGTTGCTGCTGTTTGTTTATCCTGATCCTGACCCAGACGAATGAAGGTGTGGAGCAGTATTTGAGCAGATGAAGCAGCTCAGTTAGGTTTTTCCATTGTTACCACGGCCTCAAGTCAATGCCTGCCAATCGTTGTCAGTGAGTATTTCACATAGTTCAGATTCCACAACAGGAACTTTCTGGTTGTTGAGACAAGCTGACTTCCTTACAGACTGGACTAGAATGTGACAGACATAAAGTCTGAAGGTGTAGCAAAATACCCCCACCAGCATTAAAGCTGGCCACACAAAAAGTCATATATTAGAATTTAGCTAAAAAATAAATAAATAAATACAAGTTCAAGCACAAAGTAGCAGGACTAAGATTTTAAAAAGCTAGGGATTAAAAATGTTAATAGTTTCTGACAATATGAGATAGAATAACAAAAACACTGTTGTTGCATCTCTCATTGCTGCACACTGCCGACCAGCTGGCTGAAGGAAGCATACTACACTGTCCCCTCACCTGCAAGATGAATTCAGCTGTTTGTAATTACTGTGAGTGACTGAAATCCACTAGAGTGCCATCTATCACTCTTAAGGTAAAGTTGTTTTAAAATGCACCTTTCTAAACTCTATAAAGAGGTGCACAGTAAAAAGGGTGAATGTTGTAAATCATTTAAATACTTAGCATGTGTTTTCTCAATATTTTTGATTAAATCTGTGCACCTAATTCAAACTTTTTACAGATTAAAAACTTTTTAAACATGCATTACTTTAGCAGCAGTGGTACTTGTTGTGCAGATAATGAAATAGCCTGCACACATTAATAAACAGAATATATTTTGTCCCCAGAAAACATCTTGTCTGAGTCAGTCAAAATCAGGTTAGGTCTCGGGAGGTGGCAACACAGTGCAGCAGTAATTTGGTAAGGCTGTACTATGGCAACAGCTCATGGGATCAAATCCCTGTCTCGGTGCTGCAGTTTTTGAATGTTCTTTTTGACACAATGCTGAGCATGCAGAAGTTGATTTAACATGCACCACGTCCCAGTTGAAAGAATCTGGCCCAGATCACATGTCAGCTACTGTCATAATTCAAACTACGGTGATTAGCCTGTAATTTAATAGAACATAATAATCCCCCATCTTTTAAAGGTAATTCCCATCACAAACACGAGGCCTCACTAAAGTGAATAAAAAGGACTGAACAGGAAGGATTCATTAAATCTGAGAAGGATATAGTTGTGGTTCAGAGCTTTGCACCACAACTTCAGTGTCGCACAGCAGGAACGCAACAGCCCGACGCCTGTTGAGTGCCTGACCTTAGAGGACAGCCAAGCACTCTGTCCCAACAGTCCACAGTTACAGCTGTGCTTTGCACACAAACAAAAACTACCATGGAAAATCCTAAAACCACTCAAACATGCAGGCTGCAAAAAAAAAATCTCTTTTTTGTTAATGCTAAGAGTGAGAAGGTGTGTCAAAATGAAGGATGCTTACACCCAACTTGAACATTATTCTAATTTAGAGCTTTTAAAGAAACATTCCAACTGTTCTTTTCTCAATATGGACTGAACACAAAACAAAATGCAATGAGTTTCAAAATGGTTTGGCACAGTAGACAGAATT